CCGCGAAGGTGAACCGGCAGAGTCACCGCATTGGAAAATTCTACCACTTGTAGGTTTTCGTTTTTTTTTTTTTTTTCGGGCCAACTGAAACCCTCTAACGTGTTTTTTTATAGTGATTGGTATAAAATCGATCGAAACTAGCCAAAACTAACCGAAAACGACCAACCCCAGGTAAACCGCCATTATGGGCAGCGGTGCCGCTGTGTCGAAATCCCGAAATTGGCCAAAAAAAGTTTTTTTTACCGATTTTGAATTTTTGAAGTATTTTTAGGTATGTGAATCATTTTTAATCTCCGTATAAACAATCAGGAAACCTAGGGACTGTCAGTAAGCGCAATAGAAAGTTCGATATTTCGGACACCGATTCGGGTAAGAATCCATCACCTTATTCTCTGTTATGGGATTGAAGCTTAATAATTGATAGTATGATATTTTGTGTAATTTAGAAAACTTTGAGAATAATTATAGAATAATAACAGTAGTTATTTATTTGTCATATTTAACTGATTGTTGAATTTACAGCTTTAAATACATGATGATATACTCGAATTGTTAAATGATTTAGTTGTGCTTCATTGATATATATATATATATATTACTTGTCTTGCGTAATTTACAATTGATTTGTGAAATTAAAAATTAATATGCAAACGAGAAATTATTTGGTCATGTGAATTAATGAATAACAACCTTACTAGATATCTTAAGAGATTGTGGACAAACCGGGTACATAGGGAACTCTGCCGTGAACGTTACCTCATACCGGATAAGGTATCGAAAAATAGTATTTTTAGCGCTCATACTGGATGGAGTTTAGGGACGGCCCGATTTACTCTCATATCGGACGAGGGTATTGAGGGATTGTATTTTGGCGCTCATACCGAATGTGGTATGGAGATGGCTGGTTAGTTGATAATGTTGGATATTGATTTACGCGTAATGGGATATCCCTATGAGCTTCTAGAAATATCAGTAGACAAATAAAAATAGAAAATTATTGTTCTTGCTCACTTAAATATGATATTAGAATGTTATTTGAGTTATTATCTTTATAGGTCGATTTTAAAAATCTCATAACAATAAATATATGCAATAAATGATTTTTCTTATGATAAATGTATTTACTTAAATCAAGAGTTCTATTAGTTATTTTTATGATTTTTACCAATCTTCAGTTTCTGTATCAATGAGTAATGTGATATTCTTACTGAGTTAGTGTATCTCATCATTTCATTAACTATTTTAGATCAAGAGAATTAAGACTCAAATTTCGATCAACAAGAGGGTTGTGAATAGTTTATCACCCAGATTTTCTTCAAAAGGTAGTGACAGTCGTCTTAGAATACTTAATATATTACTTTTTATTTATTTATTTGATTTTTGTTTATTCTTTTAGAAAAGACATTCTTATAACTCTATTAGACATTTTAAATTATTGTGTAAGAAATGTAAACTCTAAACTCTATTATTTCACTTTTACAATTAATTTATGATTTTTTTTTTTAAATTTCGAATCTTTACATGTGAAATAAAATATAGGTATAGAATTAGACATGTAGGAAAATATCTTTAATAGCTTATATTCTTTGAGAAATATTAGGTATTATTTAATTTTTAAATATAATTTTTTTTTGTAAAATAATATAAATAAAATTTATATGTTTTTACTAAATTAATTGTATTGACAGTGTAATAGTAATAGCTTATATTCTTTGAGAAATATTAGGTATTATTTAATTTTTAAATATAATTTTTTTTTTATAAAATAATATAAATAAAATTTATATGTTTTTACTAAATTAATTGTATTGACAGTGTAATAGTTATTTATCAAGAATTGAATAATATCGTGATGAAATTACAATTTGATTATAATATTTTGTTTTAGATAAGTAACAACTAATTACTAATCATTATAATATCAAAGTTCTAAAGGAAACATTTATAATTAATTAATATTAGAAACTCAATTAAATATTCACCACCTTTTTACTGTCTGCTGATGAAGAAGCAGCAACTTGATAACGAGGGAGGGATTATTAGTTAAGCGCAGCGGAGCACGACTAGAGGAAAAACAGTTATAGGTACAGAAACGTCACCGTTTTGGTGATGAATACGGTGGAATTATTTTCCGCGAAGAACCGAGATTTGATGAAGATAGGAGATCACGGATGTCAAAAACATAATACATGGTTCAAAGGTGATTAATTCAACATATATAGATATAATATAATATATATACAATATGCATAGATATAAAGCAATTAAACTATATAACAGGTATAATTATTTCTGTTACAAATTAAAAATTTCCCTCGCCAATTCGACAATCCTTTCTGATCATAATCTGGTTTTTTGGCTGGCTAATTAAAATAACAAGTAAAAAATAATTTAAAAAAAAATTACGGAAGAACAAAATCCTGTCATCTACAATAAGTTTACTAAGAGAGTTATATATCCATAGATTGACATGAACTGGAACTGGCCTGCCGTGATCGTACAATCAATTGATTCATTTCTGATCAGGCGTTTTGAGGACTCCGCTAATCAAACGACGCCCATCGGATCTTCTGACGTCCCCCCTTCTTGCTAGAACCTGGTGAGCTCTCCATTGTACTCCCATGGCCGCTCTTTTTACTTTCAGATTCATAAGTGGCAGCCTGTAATTTCATACCAGAATCACGAGTCGGCTCCGACGGAGAGGAGGTGGAGGAGGAAGGACATGATAGCCTACGCAGCCTCCCCCTAAACATATCAACCTTTCGCATGGCTTCCTCGAGCTTTTTCACCTTTGATGTCTTTTGCCGCCATTCTTTATCATCATCATCATCATTATAATCGTCTTTGCCATGATCATTGCTGTTCTTTTTTCCTGCGGCTGAATAATCATCGGACTCCGGGGGGGTCGGACATACCTCGTCTTCCCAAATCCGGCACTTGTGCAGTTTCACGTACTTCATCTCTACAATCTTGAAATTTGTCTGGGTTTTTATTAGTTATTCTTGATCTGTAAGGTCTGCAACATTGGGATATACGTATATTAGAATTATATATACGGATTATTTGGTTTGACAGCGAAAGTTTGTTTTTTTTCTTTTAATTATTTGCATGAAAATGAATGCTCATCCAATGAATGGAAATGGTGGAGTTGGCTTGGAAGTTGATAGAATTGTAGTGTCTGTATATATATATATATATATATATTTATATATTTGAGCGGTGGTGCTTGTAGGCCAACGATGCCAACTTTGACCAGCCTTAATTAAGCACCTAAAGATTTTCACACAAGAATATTCGCCATTTGTCTTTTCTAATTTTTTTTTTTTAAATTCACATAGGATTTGTAGAATTTTTAATTCAAAAAATAACAAAGTTTAACGTGTAATGTAAAAAATGATTAAATCTTTATAGAAAATTATAAAAACAAAATTTAAATAGTTTTTTCTTTAGTTGGATTCTGTTTATAAATTTGCTATTTATTTCAAAATTAATATTTATATTCTTCTTCCCAAAAAGAATTAATACTTACATTCTTACAGTCGTTTTTTAATTTTTTTTAATCTAGTTTACGAATTAATTTTTGTTAAAATGTGTATTAATTTCTCATGAAATTATAAATAGTTTACACACTGTTAAAATATATTTTAAACATTTACTTGCAATGAATTTTGACGGCAAAAGAAATGCAAATTATATGAAGTTCGGATTCCACAGTATGTCGTTATTGTCAAAACTCAGAAGACACGGTCTTCTCCTTCCCCATTGTGTAAAAGCTTAAAACTTGCTGGCGAATCATGCTGTAATAACTGTAATGAAAATGGAGAAAGGAGTACGGAGATGTTTATTAGACATATCAGAATGGAACCCATCTCCTGGCGACTTCGCTTCAGCCCTCTCTCTTCTTCCTCAACACGAGCATTCCTCAATTATCGGGTCTCTCTCTCTTTCTTCTTTCTTCTTCCTTCTACTATCTGCAGATTTTGCTATGGAATTTCCCACAAGGGTTTTGATAATTGCAGTATGTTGATTTATTCCTTTAATTTCTCTAACTGATAATATCAGGATCAATTTCATTTTTTTAATACATATAAACTGTTTTATATTTAGAAATTTTGTATTGAAGCTGTTGGGGAATGCTGGAAATGTAGAAGCAGAAAAACATAGTAGCAAGATATTCCAGTTTCTGTCAATGGTGGAATATAAATAATCAGGAAGGGGGAATTTGGTCTAAATTTCAATTATATTAAACGAAAATATAATACAAAATTTTGAATGAAATAGGATTCTAATTTTAAGTCGATTTAATGCATTAAGTTGAGTTTTTCTTTTATATCTTTGTGCATAATGAGAATATAAATTGAGTTAAGTATTTTCAATTTTTTTATTGTGGGAATGAATACATGATTAAATCAAATATGTAAATTATAATTATAGATTTTCTTAATTAAAATTTTATATATTAAGTAAATAAGCTGTAGTTGTAAAATATGAATAGAGTAGGATTGACGGTATCACAGCTTAACATTTTCTCCTATAAACTTAACCTTCTAAGGTAATTGATCTCTAATCTTTTTGCCTTGAGGTTAAGTCCACCTGGTGTTTCTGTAAGGGGAGGATGGAACATAACAATTTCTTTGAGAGAAAAAAGATTCTATTATGAGCACCCAAGAGGGTGCAATTCAAAACATATACATAATTTACAACCTCCTATAACAGAAAAGATGAAAAAGATCCAAAATATCAACACAATCAAGTGAGGTGCCCCTTAGGCAAAGTACATACAATTCTAAACCAATAATCTGTAATATGATGAAAACGGGGAAGAGGAGTTGTAAAAAGCTCTCCTTTTACGCTTCTTCAATGGGATCAAAAATTAGAAAGAGGAATGATAAAAATAATGTTCTTTTTGTCTTGCTACAGAATATAACTTAAAATGGTATATTGTACATTTTGTTCAATTGGTATAAAGCTTAAGCTCTAGTAAACAGTAGCTAAGAGCAACTTTTATATGGTAATAGAGATAGAACTTCAGAGTGGATTCAAACTAATGGACTTTGCATGTGAATAAATGTTGTAGAAAATAAAATATGAATTTTATTAAATAATAGAGTCCTATATATATATTTTATGAATAATAAAAAGAAAACATTATTAGTTACATGAGATGGGTATTACTAATATACTATTTACCCTACTTAGTATACAAATACACTTCCCAACACTCCCTCTTAAGCCGAAGAATACATATTATCCATTTTCATCTTGTCATGTAATAGTTTAAAACCCAGGATTGCTCAACCCCTTAGTCAATCAATCCATAAGTTACAAAGTAGTGGACATGTACAGTGTGCATATCAGTCCATTATCTAGTTTTTTTCTTGAAAAAGTGTCAGTCAACTTCAGTATGCACATTAATTGTTGACTTATCATTGCAATTGAGTCTTATAGGTCCATCTCACTAAATCTTTAAATCTTTCAAAATCATCTTCAACCATAGCTCACACACCTCTTGAGCTATGACTCTAAATTCTGACTTGGTACTGCATCGTGATACTACATTTTGCTTTTTACTTCTGTAAGTCACTAGCTTTTCTCCAAGAAAGGTGCAACATCAAGATGTAGATATTTTTTCGACTAATCACCTGCATCGTTATCATCAATATATGCTTCAAGGAGCAAACTATTTTATCTTTTTAACACAACTCCCATTTCCTGGAGTGCGCTTCAAGTAGTAGGGTATTCTAGACAGCTTGCAAATTCACTTCTCTAGGTTTGTGCATGAACTGACTGAGTACACTCACTGCATATGCAATATTTAGCTTTGTATGTGACAAGCATATCAAATTCCTTATTAGTCTCCGATACATCTCTTTCTTCGCTCTAGGGTCTTCCTCTCCCAATCCTATTTCGTGATTGGGATCAATTGGTATATTTGCAGGATTTCATGACAGCTTGTCAGCTTTCTTCAAGAGATCAAAAATATATTTTTGTTGAAATAACCGGATTTAGAGTAGGCCACCTCTATCCGGAGGAAATATTTAATATGTCAAACTCTTCAATCTAAATTCCTTAGTTAAGGATTGCTTGAGGACCATCTTCTCTCCTTCATCATTTCTTGTAATAATTATATCATCTACATACGCCATTATGGTTGTGACTCCCCCTAACTCTAAGTGTTTGATGAACAAGGTGTAATCTCTCTGACTTTGTTTGTAGCCCACAAATAGCATCACTCTAGTATCTCTCTCAAACCATGCTTGGAAGATTGTTTAAGTCCATATAATGCAATTTTTTAGTTCGCATATCTTATTCTTTTCTTCTTCTTTTACTGAACCCGATAGAAATTTCCATATAAATTTTCTTTTCCATTTCCCCATGCAAAAAAACATTTTTCGTATCAAAATACTGTAACTACTAGTTGAAGTTAGGAGTTAGGGTTAGTAGTAAACATATCATATTCATCTTTGCAACTGGTGTAAAAGTCTTTTAACAGTAAATCCTGTAGATTTGGGTATATTCTTTAGCCATCAATCTTGTCTTTTATTTCTCGATAGCTCAACCAAGTTTATATTTGTTAATGAACACATATTTGCAACCTACAAGCTTTTCTCTTTAGGTAGATCCACCATTCATCAAGTCTGATTTTTTTTCCAGTATCTGCGTTTTAGCATTCATAGTATTTTTCCATTTCTTACTATTTAAAGTCTCAAATAATGTTTTGGGAATGGATGTTATATTCAGACTCATAAAAAACTTTTTGTGAGTTAGAGAACAATTTTCAAAAGACAGAAAGTTAGAAATTTGATAGAGTGAATGCTTAATGCATTCCCTAATCCCTTTCCTAAGTGCAATTGGTATATCAACATCAGAAGGACAGTGATTCTTAGAGTTTACCTCACTTTCAGTACCTTGCTTGGATTCTTGAACTTTGGATCAGAGTCAGAGTTTTGCCTTCTTAAGTACATCTAGTTAAAATGTGGATTCTATATGGGTCGAGGTTTAGACTCATCTTGTGAGATTTGAGGTTTAGGCTTATCTTGTGGATTGATCTTCTAATGAGATAATGAGCTTGGATAGAATAGGCACAATGGTAAGGATAGAGGAAGAATGTCAAGTAATGAGTCTTAGTCTCCTAATTTTGCCTTATTTTCTAGTATAGCCTTTGATACTTGCATCATCAGATATTTAGAAGTTTTTTGTGGATGGATGCTAATACTTATATCCTTTTGAGTGGATGAATATCCCACAAAAGCACACTTGATGGTCCTAGGGTTGAACTTACCTCTTTGAGACTGATATATGTGAACACGAGAGATAAAGTTATTGTAACTTGTACCTCTTGAAAGAATTTAGTTAGAACTTCCATCAGATTCCAAAATTTTAGTACTTTAGATGGTAACTAGTTAATACGATATCTGACAATTAACAGGTTTCCCTCAAGTAATGTTTAGGTACATAGTTTTGAAACAGGAAGGTGTATATGGGAGTAAGCAAGTGGCTATTTTTCATTCTGAGTATAGATACAAGAAGATTCCTGAACAATTCCTTGCTTCTAAAAGGAGGTTAAGGTCTGGTTAGAGTAATCTTGAGCATTATCAATTCTAAAACATTTAATTGTTACTCAAATTGTGTTTTAATTATGGTATAAAACTTATTTTGGGGCACGAGATGTATAGGGTAGAAGATTTTGGATATATTATAGACTACTTAACCAATATGTAACACACTTTTTGTTCATGGGTTAGACCCCCTTTGTGCTTTGTTAATATATTTTTTACACTTTTTTTATTTCAAAAAAAAAAATTATGGTATAAAACTAGAGAATGATATAACTAGTTCAGTTTAATAGAAAAAATCAAGTAACCCGACTACGATCATCAAGAGATAAATAAATTACCGTGCCTTAGAGATGTTAGAAATATTAGAGCGACCTTTAACATCATTATGAATCAATTGGAAAGGAAAATCACTTCTTTTCTTATTAGGAGTAAAGGTTACATTTTGGTACTTTCCATTGCAGTGTAAACTTTTATTATTGCAATTGGAAAATAAAAGAGAAAAATGACCTGAAGGTTGGAGAAAGATGGGTCTCCTAGTCTCTTGCGGTACAATCATAATTTATTTAATGTACTGATAGAGAAAATAGTTATGAATAGTTAGGTTTATCCAGAAAGTATAACTTGTCCCGAGCCTTAACATGTCAAATTATCCTTCCTGAATTCCAGTCCTAAAATTCACAAAGAAAAAGATAAAAAATCACTTTCCAATTAAGGTAATGAGACAATTTGGTTACTAATATAAGATTTGTACACAGTTTAGGGACATGGAGAACATCCTTTAAGAGTGAAGTAGGGGTTGCAATTTATGGTTTCAATTCCTACTATGTGGTTAGTGAACCATCAAAAGTGGCAATTTTCTTATTACTAGAACACAGAACATAATTATTAAACAATTTAGAATAGTTGGTCATGTGGTAGGTAGCTCCTGACTCCACAATCCATGACAATGCAAAAGATTTATTTGAAGCATTTACACCATGGGAAATAGGAAATGAATCTGAATGTGCTATGAGACTTGTACATTTATGTTTTTCAAGTTGCTCAACTCAGATCTGCAATTACTCAGTTTTTGCCTTGAAATTACAGGTCTTTGTATTCTTTTCCTCCTAAGTTACATGTACCTGTTCTGATTCTTCTTTTATTCTCAATCCTTACTAGAGGTGGTCAGCTTTCTATGAAATTTTTAATAACTTTTCTCTGGTGTGTCCTGGTTTCTTGCATAAGGTACACCAGAGATATTTATTGTTTTTCCTACTGGTAGCTGAGGTCTCACTGTGGTTTGGTTCTTTTCCCAGTTGATGTGGTCTGGAACCTTTAGTTACCATTGAAAATATCATTAATTGTGCTGAATTCAAGCATAACTTCTCTTCTACTTTCCTCTGCACTAATTAAGGATATCATCTCATTCAGGGATGATATCTCTTCCTTTCCCAGGATGTAAACTCTCATCTAATCATACTTCTCATAATTTCTGTCAAATATTGGTACGCCATATCTTTCTCAACAAATCTTTTCAAAGCTGCCACATCTTTGCTGTTCTTCACAATGATTACTATAATATTGATCAAGTTCTTGCCATAAGTCTTTTAGAAGGTTGCGATATTCTAGGACTATCTTGTTACTTTGTTTAGTTGTCCAGGCTTTATATTGTTAGATTATACATATGGGCTGGATCTTTTCTCTTATAATAGATTTCTCATATCAAATCTTATATTTCTTTTGCTATAGGCAAGCACATGACTGATTTACTAGTCTCTGGGGACATAAAACTCCAGACCTAGGCCATAATCATAGAAGCCTCCTCATCCCAAGTATCAAAAGTGAGATTTCCGACTTTGATCCAGTTCCAAGGAGATGACTTAGTTTTCCTTTGCTCTTGAGAGTGGTTCGAATCAGCTGTCACCAACTCAAGTAATCTTTGCCCTTGAAGTGGTAGATAACATGAATTGGCTGAAATTCGTTATTGATTGAGAAGTTTGTGCTGGTAGATTGAGATGTGACTTCTGATATCTTTCAAACAAATACTTAGGGAAGACTTGAATGATTGGGAAGTTTGTGATTATGAAGACTTGTTAAAGACTTTAGCTTCCCAACAAATTATTGATAGGCCTGACCGGATTTGTTGGCTCCTAGAAAAGAAAGAAAACTTCGCTGTCTGCTCATATTACAACTGTCTAGTTGCTGATGCCTCCGTTGGGTTTAAAAATTTCCCTAGGAAACAAATTTGGAAAGTCAGAGTTCCTCCTCATGTTGCATTTTTTGCTTGGGAGGCTTGTTGGGAGAAAATCCTCACCCTGGACAAATTAAAATCAAGAGATTTGACCCTGGTCAATGGCTGTCATCTTTGTTTAAGGGCTGAGAAAACTTGTAACCATATTCTGTTAAGGTGCTTTACAGCATACAATCTATGGTGTTTGGTATATGGACTGCTGGGGATTAATTGGGTTGTTGTGGGCTCGGTCTGTGAGGAATTATGGGCGTGAGATGGCCTAAGCATTAAGAGAAACATTGCTAATTTAATCCCATTGACGGTTTTCTGGGTTCTTTAGAAAGAGAGAAATGCAAAAACTTTTGAGGGTAAAGAATGTTGGTTTAATAGATTAAAAGATAGATAAATATGTTACTTTGAGATTGTTTTGTTAGATAATGATATTATTAGTGATATGGATTTTGGGAATGTTATTGATACTCTAACTATTTTGTAAATCTTTTGTACATGGACGGTACCTCCATTTGGTACCTTGTTAATATACATGTTATACTTTTTATTTCAAAAAAAAAAATTAGGGAAGACCAAGTAAGAAGTAATAGGAGCAAGATTACCAGCTTGAATTTCCAAAAGCTAAGCACAAAGGGTTTTGCAGTCTGGTGATTGGTTGTGCAAGGCAGCGGCTGTGCAAAGCGGCATGCTATGCTGGGAGAAGCAGCAGCAGACAGGGGCGACCAGGGACAAACGAGCAGGGCTGTAGTTGTGCTGTGCAGGTTGTTAGGCACGCAGCAGAGGGAGCTGGGAATATGGCTGAGGCGTGGCTGACCGGACAGAGGCTGCACATGTGCAGGTGTATGGTTCTGGTGGCTGGTGGCTAAGCGGCTCTTCTGGTCGTGCAGTTTGGGAACTAGGGCCGGTATGAAGGCCAGTCTTGTAGTGGCCAGTGGTTGGAGTGAGGTGGTCGACTATGAAGGCTGACCCCTTTTGGGATTTTTTTATTTCAGCAATAAAGACCGAATATGATTTGTAAAAAAAAATTAGAATTTTTTAATTTAGAGATCTGATACCATGTGGAGAATGAAGTATGAATTTTATTCAATAGAACCCTACGCATATAAGTTTTATGAACAATAAAAAAGAAACACTATTAATTACATAAAAAGAATATATTACTATATGTTCTTTACCGTACTTATTATACAAATATACTTCCTATAAAACTTGTCAGAATATAAATAATAGGTTGTGTTGGTTTCTATAATTGGACGATTATTTTAGTTTCTGCACTATATTATATTATGATCCTAGTGGAAGTTAGCTCTAAGAAATGTAAGTTAGCAATTCACATGTTGTTCATGACTTTTCCTTGTAATCTCAACTCTAGATTTGTGAGAATGGAAGACAAAAAACGAGCACTTGTGAGCCGAATGCTTCAATATGCTCTTGTGCACCAAGTGTTGGGACTACCATATGAGGGAATTATCATAAGTCGCACCTTAGAAGGGAAACCTTACCTGGTATGTCCTATGTAAGCAAATCAGATCTTGTCTTTTGATGTTCTAGATCAGATTTCATTTGGGTGTTAATGGTGTTCTTTCATATTTGGTCTGAATGCAGATCTAATGATGACCTTTTCTATTTAATGAGAAATAGGTTGGTTATGAAGAATATTTAACTAGGTTCTATTTATTCTATTTGTTTGAGAAAGTTTAGAATTTCAAAATACATTGGAATTGTATTTGCAGTTTAGTTAATTATATGAATATTTTGTGATGCCTCATATACCAGGTTGGTAATGTTGCTAACTAACAGATTCCAAGGCTTGCACCTTAATTTCGCAGTTAGCTCATCCTGATGTCGATCTGCTGTCTTACTAATTATAGCTTATAGATAAAAACCAATAATGTCTAACAGTGTTTTCTTACCTGTTGTGAAATCACACTGGTAGCCATAGAGGAGTTGCTAGTGTCTCGATGACTTTTAGCTAGTTACCTGGGTGACTTAGTCTTCCATTTGCATCATTAACATCCATGCATCTTATTTCTAGTTCTCTGAACATTTAATTACACGTCTCTTTTTCACTTCTTGATTAACATGTATTGTTAATAGGACTGCTATATGATAGAATATTTGAGGCATAAAGCACAATTTTTTAGGCTAAGAAAAGGAGGGTTTCTAATCTGACCAATCCTGGTTTTTGAATAACTGAAAATCTTACTATAAGCCATATTTTCAAATTCCTTCCATTGTTGCATTGAATCTGAAAACTTGATAGATGGAATTATATTTCTTGCTGGTTATATTCCTTTTCCAGTTTTGGTTTCGCATGATAACACCAAACATTTACTAGAGAATTCATTTGGCCCATGTTTTCAGGAATGTGATAAGATTGGCTCAATGTTTCCTAATTTTAATTTCAATGTCTCCCATCATGGTGATTATGTGGCAGTATCATCTGAACCATTGTGCCTTGTGGGTTTGGACATTGTTTCTCCTATCATTCCCCAGGGAGAGACAGTTCCAGAATTCATTCAGAACTTCTCTTCCTCTTTTTCAAGTTTGGAATGGAATAATATAGTAACTGCTGGCGCTGACGCTGAAGTTCTACTTGAGTTTTACAGGTATGGCTATTTCATCTTAGAGAAATCTTATCAAGAAACCTACAAAAAGGTGCCCTTCAAACTATTTATAGAATAGCTTGCTTATTTTCCATCATCTATTTCTTTCTTCTGCATTCTGGTAATAATGTAAACAAGTTATCATCCTACATTATATTGTATAATAAAGTAGCCCAAATGTTTCATTAATTTAAAAATTTTTTGGACAGAGACCTGAGAATAATAGAAGGGAACCTTAGTTATTCCTACCAAAAATAAGTTAGGATGCCACATTTATGTAGATTGCCAGCCTTGTTTATTCTCTTTTCAATTTTTGAAAGTTTTGCTATCGGTACCCCTAGGCATGATTTAGTAAATGTGAACTTCTCTCGGTTAATTTATAGAGGCACATCGTACTATTGGTTTATGAACACAGATGGGAAAAAGAAGATTTTTTTTTTCTTTATTTTCTGTTCTTTCCAGTTGGTACAAGATGCTGATTTTATAGAGTTGTATATTCTTATTTTATCTTCCTAATTTTAGGAGTAAATGACTACATAATTAATAGTAATAACTTCTAAAAATATATAACAATAAATTTTAGAAAGATATAATAATAACTCCTACAAATATGCAGAAATAATTCGTAAAAATATGCTGTAATTATTTTAGAGATATGTAGTCAACTATCTGATTCTTTTTATATATTTCTACATCTCTCTCAAATTGGTGCATAAATATTGATCATGCTCAACTTGTCAATGAAGGATTCAAACTTTGGTACGAAATGCTCATTGGTAAAAATATCAGTTGTTTGTTGCTTAGAAGTCACAAACAGCATACAAATAACTCTATTCTCCAACTTTTTTTAATAAAATGTTTATCAATTTCAATGTGTTTTATATGATCATGTTGAACTGGTTTGTGCAATGCTTATAGTTAATTTGTTGTCACAAAATAGTCTCGTAGGTGATTCTAATCTTAGTTATTCAAGTTCCCTTTTAATCCATAATACTTCACAAACTCCATTTGCTATAACTCTATACTCAGCTTCTGTACTATTTCTAGTAACCACACTTTGCTTCTTACTTCTCCAAATTACTAGATTTTCCCATAAAAACGTACAGTAGCCAGAGGTTGGTCGTCTATCTGAAATTGGTCCTGTCCAGTTTGCACATGCGAAGACTTTTATGCTCATTTTATTACTCTTCTTGAACAACAACCCACTCCCGGTGTTCTTTTTAAATACTTAAGAATCTTATATACAGTTTATAGATATTTCTTATAAAGTGAATGCATATACTGACTCGCGACACTAACCGCAAAGGCGATATTAGGTCTTATAAGGGACAAATAAATGAGTTTTCCTATAAAACGTCGATATCTACCTTTATCAACTGGAACTTCATTAGGAGCATCTCCGAACTTTTGATTAGGATCTATGAGTGTATCACTTGGTTTGCAACCACTCATGTTCGTCTCCTCTAGTAAGTCAAGAACATACTTTATTTGTGATATAAAAATTCTCATCTTTGACTTTGTAATTTTCATACCAAGAAAATAGCATAAATGTCCAAAATCCTTAATTTTAAATTTTGAGGCAAGATGTTTCTTCAATCTACATATCTCGTCGTCATCATTCCCAGTAAATATTATATTATCCACGTATACAATCAAGAGAGTCATCATTCCATCACGTGTGTGTTTTGTAAATATTGATGATCAGATTGTCCTTGACTATACCCTTTGTTTTTAACAAATGTAGCAAATTTCTCGAATTAAAGTCGGGGAGACTGTTTTGGTCCATATAATAATTTCTTCAGTTTACAAACTTTTCCTCTAAACTTCTCTTCAAAGCCAAGAGGCGGATTTATATAGGCTTCTACTTCCAGCTCTCCATTAAAGAATGCATTTTTAACATTCAATGAAAACAGTGGTCATTTTAAATTCACAAGTATAAAGAATAACACTCGAATAGTATTCAATTTGGTAATAGGAGCAAATGTCTCATGATAATCAACTCTATAAATCTTCGTAAATGCTTTTGCTACTAATCTTGCTTTATAGCATTCCAATGATCCATCTGAGTTGAATTTTACAATAAAAACCCATTTGTACCCAACAATTAATTTTCCTTCAGGAAAACGAGTTATCTCCCACATACCATTCTTCTTTAGAGCTTCCATTTTTTCAAAAACAACTTTCTTCCATTCAGGAACCTTTAGTACTTTCTGTATAGATTTAGGTTTATCCATACTTGACAATTGTAAGATAAAAATATGGTAAGATAATGATAAATTTTTATAAGATACAAAATTTAACAGAAGGTGTTGAGTACATGTTCATATTCCTTTCCTAAGAGCAATAGGGAGGTCTAAAGGGTTAGAGTACAATTGTTGAATGGGAAAAAGTTTAGACTCTACAAATTTAAAAATTGTACATGATTTTCCGATTCTTGCTATCCAATCAAATTCTTGCTTTGAGGAGACATAGATGCATCTTTCTTTCTTTGAATCGAGTTTCTTTTAGTGTAAGTTTTTTGCAACAATCTTTCATCATTGAAGAATGCATAATCCCTTGTCCTAGTGTCTGTTTTATGTTCAGCCACTAAGGTGGGTCCCCCGTGTTCCTTATCTAAGATATCAAGATTAAATATTACAATTTCACTATTTGTGTAATCATCATAATTTTTTTCAATTTTTTCATTTTCAAATACCAAGTCTTCAATTCTCTCCCTCCCCCTTGAAGAGGACTAGAAAAGCTTTGAGATTACAAGAATGTAATATCTATTGTGACAAGATATTTTTTTTCTGGTAGGATCAAAACATTTATATCCTTTTTG